TAAGTATGCATAGATAAACTTGCATTTTATTACAGTGTGTGTGTGTGTGTGTGTGTGTGTGTGTGTGCGCGCGCGCTTGTTTTTGTCTAAAAAAGAAACAGAAAATGCTAATTCCAATTATGAAAAAAAAGTAAATCGGATACTGTATTATTTTACTACTTACAGTGACAGGGGGGAAAGAAGACTTTTAAGCATGATTATTTTAGTCTACTAAACCTTATATCTGTTTTATAAAACCAAAGAAAGGAATTCTGAATGTTTAAAGATGTAAAAACAGAATACATTTTTTTAAAGTGATTTAAATCACTGAGTTTTATTTTTAAAATCAAATTGATTTAAATTTTTTTAATCAATTGATTTAAATCGACCTGATTTAAATCAACCCAACCCTGGTTTCCAATTATGGAAAAAAAAGTAAACTGAGGACTGTATTACAATAAATTTTACAGTGACAGGGGGGAAAGCAGACTTTTAAGCATGATTATATTAGTCTACTAAACCTTATATCTGTTTAATAAAACCAAGGAAAGGAATTCTGAATGTTTAAATATGTAAAAACTGAATACATTTTTTTAAAAGTGATTTAAATCACTGAGTTTTATTTTTTTAATTAAGTTGATTTTAAAAAATTTAAAATCAACTGATTTAAATCAACCCAGTTCTGATTTCAATTATGGAAAAAAAAAGTCAATTGAATACTGTATTATTTTACAGTGAAAGGGTGGAAAGCAGACTTTTAAGCATGATTATACTAGTCTATTAAACCTTTTATCTGTTTTATGAAACCAAGGAAAGGAATTCTGAATGTTGAAATAAGTAAAAACTGAATAAAAATATTTTTTTAAAGTGATTTAAATCACTGATTTTTATTTTAAAAATCAAGTTGATTTAAATTTTAAAAAATCAACTGATTTAAATCAACCCAACCCTGATAAAAAACTAATGTGTTTGTTTTCACTTTCAGGAGATCGAGTCGGGCGATCGGCCCGATACATTTTTCTTTTATCTGACAATGTATTTTTAGTCAAACACTCGCTGGGCATAAGATCGGTTTCACCCTTCTCCCTCCGACAACACACTATTTGGAACAAGCAACTGCAGCAAACCTGCACTTATCACTACATTCTACATGGCATTGGACAGAAGGGCGAGAGCCTAGCTGGCTGTTGCTGGATCGATAACAATAACAACAGCAACATAAGATCTGCCATTTGTTTTTATACCATTTTTTTAGTGCAGTTTCAGTTCTTTGGTTAAGTCCCTTTTGCGATAAAGACCGTTCAATTACAATTAGGGCCAACTGAAAAAGTAAAAGAGTAATAGATCTAGTATTCTTTTCGCGAGAAGCAAACCTTCCCACTTTTCGTGGTCATGGATAAAGGCTGCAAAAATGTCCTCCCCTCAAACATCATAAATTTAAAATTTTAATTTTGGCATAGCTTTTCTGTTTTCACCAGTAAATGTCCCTGGTTTTCACTTTTACCAATTTACTTGCAAGTTAGGCCAATTTTAACCAGAGTCTACAGCACAAAATTCTACACTAAGTGTAGAATTCTGTGGTCTACAGTCTACATAACAAGAGGGGCCACTTCTCTCTCTGAGCCAATTAAAAAAGTATCCTCAAAATTTGGTGGCGCCCTCTTCGCAAATGCGCACCCTTTGCGAACAGAGTTACCCTACTTGAGTTTAAAAAATCAAAGTGAAACTAGCAAGTTTTTTAATAAATTTCGGGAGAACACTTTTTTTAAATGGTTACGCTGACAAAAAACCTCTTCCAGAGGAACGCGTGATTGTTTTCTTCGTTTAATTTGACTTTAGAATGAAAGGCGAGGGGTCATTAAAATAAATAAAACCTAAAACTCCGCACTGAGCGAACCCGAACTGCTGATGAACAGCAGTCGATCTGCGCACGCAAGAACAAGACCAAGAAGGTGCTATTCCTATTCTTCTTCTGGAAAAACGAAAGAGAGCTTCAAAACAGACTGCAGCGCCATCTAAAGCAAAGAGCGAACTTCCGGCGGACACTTTTTTGGCTGAGTGGCCCATCTTGTTATGTACTATCCACAGAATTCTGTGGTACTATCTTTATTTCAACAATTTTAAAATTGGACCGCATCGCCGTATACCGGAAGCATTCGTAGCATGGCAAAGTTACCTCTCTTGCTTTCGCTTGTTGGCCTAGGCCTACCCACCCGTGAATTCTGAATAGTGCAGTGCACTCAGCTCAGCATCTTACGTAGAATCTAGATCTAGGCCAAGCAGAAGGCTTGTTGTGTGTCAGAAAGACAGTAACATTAACAATACCATTTGATTGAATGGGATGGAAGTAAAAGAACAGTAAAGGAACTTGGAAATAATACAGGTAGATCTACATGTTTCATGGGATACCTTTACTTTATCCTCTCAGGAACAGTGGGTAGGGTGGAGGGTGAATCCTCCGGTTCACCTCCCCTCTCTACTTTCACTTTCAATGTTCAATTTTGCATTTTATGTGAATGAAAAGTGAAGAGTACACTCGCCAGACGTTCATATGACAAAATGACATCCTATTACTAGGGTCTAGATATAGATCTAGATCTAGATCTAGTGTCTGAAGGATGTTGTTGAAGGCCTAAATTTAACAATAGGTCCATCCTTTAGATAATTTACTAGATTAGATCTAGATCTAGATCTAGATATATAGACTCTAGATCTAGAAAATCTAGATGTAGATATCTAGATCTAAATCTAGATATAGATCTATAGCCTATGTACGGCATACCGTCAGTTGGCACGCATTTGGCCCAAAATTGGACAACCAGACAATTATGCGATAATCTGGAATGCTGTCTGCTAAACAATTATGTTCAACATTGTTTTGTTTTCAAGTTCAACAATTTTGAGCAGAATCAGACACCTGTGTGAGCAGAAATGATCCATTTCATCTCCAAATGTAAGAACCGCATTCAGCCATTACGGCTTGCAGATGCGCAATACATCTTTGGAAATAAGCTATTGGTTCTACAATCGTACCCGCAGGATTCGTTTCGCATTTTTATTCAGTTTATAAGGTGTCTAGTTACCGCCACAAACCATTCGCTGCTCTTTGTTTTAACAATTGGCGCCCGTAGGGGGGTGACGATATGGGGTACAATTTTTTGATGGATGTACCCCATACCGTCACCGTATTTTTTACTTGGTGCGTGACTTGAAAAATAGTTATTTCTTGGGGAGTGCTTATTTAGGCCACATATGGCCTAAATAAAGTAAGGGAGGGGGGGTTTAGCTTATTTAGGCCACAGGTGGCCTAAATAAGGTAAGGGAGGGGGGTTTTGCTTATTTAGGCCTAAATAAGGTCACCCTATTTCTTGACGGACTATGGATGGCATCTTAGTACTTTAGATTTTTTAGTTTCTATGATTTGATATAGATCTAGATAGATCTATTTAGACACGGATTCATTAGAAAATGAGCGACTTTAGATTTTTCTTTTTTAATGTTTGAAACAAATTTATATGAAGGAAACTCTATCCTGTTGTATGTAATGATGATGATGATGTTCCTCTGTCCAATGTATACACATGTTGTGATGATTTTCTTCCAGCCACTGTTTCCACATGTTGTGATATTGTTCCTGCTCTTACTGCTTCTGTTTCAGAAGAAAAACTTGCTGGCCCTCCCCCAACTGCCCTTGTCTCTAGTTGTGAGTGGTCAGTTGATGCCCTAGACTTTTCGACCACAGGTCTGGAATTCTCGGGGATCGAATGTACCCCCGAGGACTTCCTGGATCCTGCAGCAGAGTTTCAGCTACCTTTGGTTTCGACCCCAGCTCGGGATCCTGTGGATAACCAGGACTATGTCTATTGTCTACCTGAACAGGCATTGAGACCATTGGAAGATGAAACTGTGGTGACATCCCAAGCCCCCCAAAAACTGCCTCAGGACAACAGTTTTGCTTTGTCCTTGACAGTCTAATTGATCACGCCATTGCCACTGGATGGATGGCATCAGACCAAATCGAACCTAAGGAGAACGAGGGGGCATACAGAAAATACCTTGATTTGTACAATCAACTCATTCCTGCCCCCTCGTTCGTCAACCTGCCCATACCAGCAAGCTGGAACTATCTAAGGTTTCAACACAGAGAAGCCGGCTAAGGTCCCTACATACATGTCTTACGGGCAAAGTACAAAGCATGGGAGGAGGCGAAGAAATTGGAAGAAGAAAAGAAAAAGGAAGAAGTGGAAAAGAAGAAGAGAGAAAGGGAGAGAAAAGGGTGGAGAAGGAAGAAGAGAAAAGAGGAGAAAAAGTAACTAAGTTGGAGAAGCAGAGAACAGGGAAGAAGAAGAAGAAACAACAGGGAAATTCATGTATGTGTGCGAGTAAGATGTTCATGTGAGTTTGTTGTGATACATGTGGAAGAGTAAAATGAAGCATTCAAGTACTTGTGTGTGAGTAAAAGATGTTAATAATAATAATAATAATAAATGACATTTATATAGCGCTCAACCCCTAATAAAGTACACAGGCTCTGAGCGCTTTACAATACAGTACAACATACAACAGTAACATGAAACGTTATGTTCTGACTAAAGAAAATTATTCCAAATATTCATCTTATTAATTTAAAAACAGAAACGACTTCAGCTGACCTTTGAATGAATCTAGATATTAGATTTAGATATTTAGTTGACGAAGTGGCTAGCCGTACTTTACTGCCAGTCTAGCCGTACTTAGATCTAGGTTTGGCCCTATCGACTCAAGTCTGTTAGGTGCACAGGTCTCATTAGATCTAGATCTTGATCTAGATCTTGATCTAGATATCTAGATCTAGTAATTATTCAGGTTCAAATAATGAAAGGGCTGGATTGTACTTACCGGACCACCCGTCTCGGCCCATGATTACTACGCACGCCTAGCCTAACTACGCACTAGAGGTGTGCGAGTAACGAGTCCAGACTCGAGTACTCGAGTAATACATGCCGCGAGTCCAGACTCGAGTCACAAGTAAATTACTCGAGTAAGGACTCGAGTCCAGACTCGAGTCTGTAGGGGGAAAAACAAAAAAAGAAGGAGAAAATTTTGGGGGGTTTTTTAAGTTAAGAATAGATAAAAGAAACATTCTAATAAGCAATTTTTTAAACTGAAGGAAAATAAACAACAAAAACAAATAAAATCCCTTCCCCCAAAGGAAAAAAACGAAAGAAAACCCCAGAGAAAAGGAAACCACTGTTAAAAACCCACGATGACCAATCAAACTTCTTTTTTTTATGAAGTGCACTGTCTGAGGTTTACAGTCTGTGTACATTTTATTCTTACTGTTGTAACAGAATTATTTTTAAAAAATAAAAAATAAGATAAGATAAAGACCACCTCTATTCTAGCTTGGTTGTTATACAGTTGTAAGCTTCTCACTCACCCGGGGTGAGAGAGCGAGCCTTTTGGCTATTCTCTTCATGTGTGCGTTTACCGTGATACCCAGTGCAAACCACAGAATTCTAGATCTACACTTTTTAAAATTGAATTCTGTGGTGTAAACAAACGTTCCAGTCCTCTGTGTTAAAAACATGCAATTTTATCTGCGGGCATTGAAAGAGGGAGAGAGAAGAGAGAGAGAGAGGAGTAGCCTAGATATAGCGAGATCTTCTGGGCTAAACAAAATGCCAATTAAGGTAGTTCGGCTCTATTCTAAAAGTGAAATAGCCGTAGCATCTTTGTAGACCGCCAAATTAGTTTTACTTTTGTGTTATAATATCTTTTTTTTTTTAAAGGGGTTTGTCTATTTAATCATCCTCCCCGATAGGAAGTATTCAGAAATTAGGAAAAACCGGTTTTGTTTCACACCGGTTGAGAATAGCCAACGCTGGCAAGTCTCACCCGGGGTGAGAGGTCGATCACATTTTTATTCTCACCTGGGGTGAGAATAGCCACTTCCTAAGATAAAATAAAATACATACGGTATTAACAGCATATGTCTAGAATTGCAATAAGCCTACTCAAGCACCCTCCTAGGAAGGCACTCTATTTTCTGTCCGATATTCAACAAAACTTTTTTTGAAACCCACTAAAATTCCCTTTCGGGATACTATTACTCGAGTAATTACTCGAGTCTTAAGAGTTGTGGGACTCGAGTAATTACTCGAGTCCAGAGCAGATACTCGAGTGTGGACTCGAATCTTAATATGCTGGACTCGCACACCTCTACTACGCACTCATAGTCATAGTACTCTGCGTGCGGACAAAAGGTAGTTCCACGGGCGACTTCGCGCACGCAGAGCGAAGTCAGCGGCGACTGGCGAGGCGAGGTGAGCGAGAGGTGGTGATTGAGAGTGGGATGGGGATTTAACTTTGGTGGCCCACCGTGTATCATACCAACAGTGGGGATGGGGGGGGGGGCTTGCCCCCCTGGAAACTATAATAAAGAAAACACACAAAAATGCGAAACAATAACATGAGCGGACAGTCGTTTTTACATATCAATGTAACAACAGTGGGGGGAGGGGGGGTTTCAGGGGGGCTAGCCCCCCCTGGCAACAATAATTTAAACACTCACACACACATATAAACAATAGCATGATAAGTCACGAGCAGGGCCGATGGGGTTGCAATTATTATGCAAATGAGCTCTCGTGCGCATCTCTAGCCCTCCATTGTACTTTGCCGGACCAGGAGTAGGCCTAGGCCACAGAATTCTACACTAATAGAAGCGGAACTCCCTCTTCGCGATCGCCGATTTGCTGTGAGGAATTGAAACTAAAACATGGCGGCCGGTTGAGGGCACCTTTGGCTGCGCCGCACAGCGAGGCTTTGCGTTGCTATGCACGCTGATGCTAGTGGTAGGGCTTGGAAGACACCCAACATCAGTATTTTAAAACTTTCTTCGAAGAGGAAATATAGTGAAATAGTCTAGTACATTTTTATTGCCAACAATATGTCATAATTGGAAATGTTACAATGTTTTTGTATTTGTATTGTTGGTTTGTTGTTTTTTAAAATGATGGGATGGGATCTAGAACTAGATAGATCTAGATCTCAAGATATCTAGATCTACTAAAGATCTTCACAATCACAATACACTTGATAATAACACTAATTATGAACATTAATTCTGTTGGCAAAATATTTAGATATATAGTCTTGATTAGTACTAGATCTACGATAAGGCGATGCTGGCAGTAACATGCTCACTACAATAATATTGTCATTAAGCTTAAGGCCATCCAAAGCAAGCAAAAAAGAATAATATAAGCCTTTTGTCCAATTTACTAGAAAGAGATAAATAAATTGAGCTTATATTGAGGAAATGTATTATTTCTCACTTTAAGAATTCATCTGTGTTTGCATCAGTAGTGTGTACAACAACATGCTTTGTTTAAAGCACGT